CCCCAAAACCCCAAAACCCCAAAACCCCAAAACCCCTAAAAATTAAAATCTATTAAAAATGAGGCCTCTGCTAGCTAAGCTGCTAAAGAAAGACAAAATCGTCATCAGGAAGAGTGATAATGATATCGACAGGTTCAGGAAACTTAAGCTCAAGCAGAAAGCTTATGAAAATTATGTTAAAAATGCTCCAAAGAATGAACGGATAGCTGACATTGATCCTCTAATGCTCAAAAATTACAATCACGACAGAAACGAGCTCTTTATAGACGCTCCTCATCTTTTTAAGAGGAAGAACTATTCTAAGAGCTGGTTTTATTATATGCCACCGATGAGGAATGATAAGAAGTTTGAAGTCAATAATAAGAGAAGAGTTATTCAAATACTGGTATTCCTTTCAGCTCTTGGTATTGGATACACAATAGGACTTAGACATTCCAGTCCTAAGAATATGAGAGAGCATGTAGAAGAGCTCGTGCTAGAGGAGCAATTGTATTATCATCTTAAAGGATCAAATGATCCAGAGTAAGTCTTTTGGTAATAAAATTACAGAAATCCAAGAAAGCCAAGACCTGTTTTTCTGACATATTATTGCCCAGGAGAATTAACATCTATTAACTATATGATAGAGGTTGGTAAAGCAGCAGAAAAGCATGGAATTGATGTAAATAATCTCTTTGCTAAGCTATAGCCTGAAGGAGTCAAATTCATGTATGTAAATTCTAAAACAAATATCAACTTTTTCTTGCAAAAGGAGACAAGTAACAACACTTGGTTTAAATTTAGAATCTAAGGGTCAGACATGGGTTACTTACTCAGAGCTCATACTCCCTCATCAAGAAGAGGAGCAAAAAGAAGAACTTGATATCTCGAATGCTCCATTTTTACAAAAGATGGCAAAGGATAACAATATCAAAATACCAGAGGAAGAAAAGAGCTCCTCCAAGAAGGAAGATAAAGGTTTGAAAAAGATTAAATTTGAGACTTACGAAAGCTTCAAAGCCAGAAGTGTTGAAGGTATCGAGGCCGTGTTGATGGAACATGGACTACTTGACCCTGTTTACAACCCTAACTCTATCATTTCAGACAGCATAGATTATAATAAGTTAGCAGAATAATAGATTATTGGTGACCTCAATTTGATATGAAAATCCTGGGGTTTTGGGGTTTTGGGGTTTTGGGGTTTTGGGG